CGGGTTAAAGCACAGCACTGAGAATCTAAAGCCGCTTCCGCATGAGTTCAATTCCTGCCTGCCCCAGAGATGACCACATGGCGAGGCAGACCTCTCCTGACCCGCCAACTGCTCCCCTCAGCAGTGTACTTCGTCGATCTGCCTGTTCTGTTCCCCACTCTGTCTCTGGTGAATCCTCTCACCCTCCGCATCTCTGGCCTGTACCCCAGTTCTATATGAATAAATAAATAAATCTTAAAAAAAAAGTGATGTATTCCTGCAATAGAACACTACTTAGCCATAAAAAGAAATACTGATATCTGCTGCAACATAGGTGAATCTTGAAAATATTATGCTAAGTAAGTCAGACACCAAAGGGTGATTTTATATGATTCTATTTATATGTAAAGTTCACAATAGCCAAATCCATAGAGACAGATGGTAGATTAGTGGCTGCCAGAGCCTGGGAATGGGGAATGACTATTAGTGGGTACAGGGTTAATTTGGAAGTGATGCAAATGTTTTAGAATTAGGTGGTGGTAGTGGTTGCATAACTGTGAATATACTTAAAAACTACTGAATTTTGTGGCGCATGGATTACATGACAATACAAATAGTAAAATTGCTACCGAAATAAAAGACTGCTTAGCATGCCAGCTGGAGTGTGCTCAGACTGTGGACGACCAAATGAGAAGGGCAGTGCAGGGAGTGGCGCTCTGTGAGCCTCGCCTATAAATCAGAGTAAGGAGCCTCCCTCCCTCTCTCAGCTTTGCCCAGTGCAGAAGGGACTGCAACAGCCACAGGCCATTTGGAAGACCTGAGAGGGCCTCCAGGCATGCAGGGACGGGGCGTGGACCACAGGGCGCCCACCTGCCAGCGTAGGCCCAGCCACCACGGCAGGCAGCCCACAGGAAGAAGGCACAGCTCGTGAACACGCCTTGCCTTGGTCTTAAGACTTACAAGGCTCATGTTTTCCAAACCAGAAATGAAGACTGATAATTATGGTTTGTCCTGAGAGGGATGGTAGGGCACAGCATTTTAAGTTGGGACTGTCTCCAAAATTCTGGCTTCAAGGGTCCAATTTTCCAGGATGAGTCATCTCACTTTGCCCCTTGAAACAGACACGTTTACCAAGAACTTAGACTCTCTGGGGAGTCACAGGCAAACATGTTTTATTGTTGTTGGTGTTTTCCCTAAAATTCAGGTTTCCCAGTGAAAAGTGTTTAATCAGAACTTATTTCTGGCCTAGAACCAATATAACATGCTGCTCACGTTGAAAGGGGAGTCTGTGACCTTTTCCATAACAGGGTACAGAATCTACTTTAAAAAACACTGTCTGGTGCCCTCCCTGGTGGTGCAACAGGTTAAAGCGCAGCACTACGAAGCTGTCCACAGCTGCTGCAGCATGAGTTCGATCCCCCCCAGCCAGCGAGCTGAACCACATGGCGTGGCAGACCTCTCCTGTCCCACCACTGCTCCCCTCAGCAGTGCATTTCAGTAGATCTGCCTGTTCTGCTCCCCACTCTGTCTCTGGATCCTCTCACTCCCTACACCTCTTGCCTGTACTCCAGTTCTTGTATGCATAAATAAATCTTTTAAAAAACCAAACAAACATAAAACACTGTTCAGCTCATTTCCTGAAGCCTCTTGGAATCTGACAGGAAGTTCAGAAACACTGAGAGGTTCCCTTTACTTCCCCCAAACCCATGACAACCATCCCCTGCAGCAGAGTGGTCATGAGGCAGCTCATTGAGGAAGAGCTGTCCTGTGTTCTCTAAAATATTCTGGTCGTTTCCTTTGAGGGAGTAGCTTAACCTGCTGGGACACCTTTTTCCGACACTGGAATAGGACCCCAGAGGACTCAGTATTCCTCTCACCGCAAGATCTGCATCTTCTGTCATCGCAGACCAAGCCACAGCCATCTCCTAGTTGGATTAATCTGGTTTATCTAATAGCCACCTAACTGGTCTCTCAACTGTCTATTCCTATTCCCTGCCTCCCTGAAGTCTATGCTCAAGTAAGCAGAGAGATGCTTTTAAACATCAATCAAATTACATCACTCCTCAAATTTCTGTAATGGCTCCCATAGCACTTGGTAAAAGCCAAAGCCCTCACAACAGCCCAAAGGCCCTATATGACGTGCACCTCCCCCTGTCCCTCACCATGACCACCTCAGAAGCATATGTCCCCAATCTCCCCCATACAGATACAGATAATCACCCGCTCACCCTCCACCCCCACCCCCACCGAGTTATCTCCTCCTGCGTCACCATCCAGCCCCTCACCTTTGCCTTTGGGCTTCCTACTAGAAGGTTCTTCCCTACTTCCATTCACCTCACCATGGGATGCTTTCAGGACCACCCTATTTAAAGTAGCTCTCCTGGATCCTCCCTGGTAGCAAATGGGTTTAAAGCACAGCACTATGAAGCTATCCTCAGACACTGCAGCACAAGGGACACGCATGATGCAGCAGACCTCTCCCTCAGCAGCATACTTTGTCAATCTGCCTGTTCTGCTCCCCACTCTGTCTCTGGTGAAGCCTCTCACTCCTCACACCTCTGGCCTGTACCCCAGTTTTTGTATGCATAAATAAATCTTAAAAAAAATAAAGTGGCTCTCTTCACCCTTCATAATCCCTGACCTTGTTCATTTTTCTCAAAAATATACTTCACCGTTAATACATCTTGTGTGCATATAGAAGACATACTTGTACATTTACACACATACATGTTTGGCTATCATCCCTGTAGATATAAACAAAGATCAACCATATGAGAATAGCCAAGGCTATTTATTCAGTGCAGGGAGGGAGTCACCTTTACCTGAATTTTAACAGGCACTCAAAGGCAGGCAGAGGCTTGGGAAAGCTTTCCAGTGGAGAAAAGGGACAGGTACAGGTGGGCCCCGATTGGAAGCTGTTGGCCTGAGAGCTGTAGGTTGGTGATCTGGAGGGGGCACCCTATGGTATATATTTAACTTTTTCTGGTTGGTCTCAAGTTGGAAGCAGGAGTAAAAATTAGGGAAGCTGTCGATTATTAATGAAATCCTGGCCATTTGGGGCTAATTGTTACACAGGCTATTGTTCATCTTCCCAGACTGTGATGAGAGATAGAAATCTGGCTTCCTGTAAGTATGATTTAGAGCAGGCTGGCTTCCTGGGCTGTTTATCATAGATAAGGTGATTGGTTTCCTAGGCAGGTTGCTGCAAGTTGTGGGCCGAAGCTCTATTTTCACATATAGTCTGGCCAGCATCCATTCGTATTTTCAATCTCTCCTCCCCCCCATCCACAGTCACGTGTCACTGACAAGGGGATGCATCCTAAGAAATGCATTGTTAGGTCATGTTGTTGTGTAAACACCATTTGCACAAAATCAGATGGTGTAACCTACTCCTCACACAGGCTACATGGTATAGCCTATTGGGACCACTGTCACACAGGGGTCCAGCCAGACCAAAATGTCCTTGAGAGACACATGACTGTAAATGCTAAGAACTTGGTTTTATTCGCCACTGTCCCCCCTGAGCCTAGTACCTAGTAGCACTCAGTATGTTTTTTGTCTTGATAATGTCTTGACCTAGTTGGAAAGTCACAACTGTGACTCTACTACATGACCTGGGTAGAAAACCAACTACAAGCTTGCTTAATTCAGTCCAATTCTGCAAGTGTGTTGAGTGCCTGCTACACACCCAGGAAGCTCTGCAGCAGGCTGTGCTTACTCACTCCCAGTGACGCCAGTATTGACAGAAAATGAACGGAAGACCTAAATTCTGATTGTTTTAACCTTTGTTCAAAATTCCTCTTCTGTTCTCTTTCTCCCTCTCTGACTCGTCTCTTCCATGTGCCGGGGTCCTGGTGTGCTTTCAGTGACTGCTCTGCCCACCTTTACTTCCTCCAACCCTCACTACCTTTGAAGCCTATATGGTTCTTCTCATTCAGTGGTTGGTTGTTTTTTCATAAGCCAGTTACCTTCTCAGTTGGATTATAGGTTAAGAGCCACATCTTGCTCTAACACAGGTGGTGACTAGCCCGGTCTCCAAGACCTGAGCCACCTCCATCCCAACCCCCTTTCCTATGTTTGACCTTTTCCCTGATCTCCAAGTGGAAGGTCTCACTGGCTTCAGCTTCCTTGCATCTTCAACACACAGAAGTCACGCCAAGCTCACAGTGGCCACTGGAGCTGAATGAGCAGCTTTCTGAACTGACCATCCAAGGTTGGGACACCTACTGGAGCATCTCAACTGTTTTGGGACAGGGACTTCCCACTGAGTTAATAAAACATGTTTAAGTGGGTCCTCCCTGGTGGCACAAAGGGTGGTGCTCCCCTTTCTGTCTCTGGTGAATCTCTCACTGCCCCTGTACCCCAAATCTGTATGCATAAGTAAATCTTTAAAAACAACATGCTTAGGCCCTCCCTGGTGGCACAATGGGTTCAAGGGCAACACTGCAAGTGAGGCACAGCCACAGCCGCTTCAGTGCGAGTTCGATCCCACACGCCACAGCAGACCTCTCCTGTCTCCCCCGCTGCCCCCCTCAGCAGTGTGCTTCATCAATCTGCCTGTTCTGCTCCCCACTGTGTCTCTGGTGAATCCTCTCACTGCATCTGCACCCCAGATCGGTATGAATAAACAAATCTTTAAAAAAGAAGAAAAGTAAGCTAATAAAAAATTAAAAAATAATAATAATAAACATGTTTAAGTGGTTCTGAATTACCTGTTCTTACAGAAAGGAGATTTTAGACTTGGATTAATTGACCTCTCAACAGTCACTTGAGGAAGCAAGAGAAACATCTGCCAGGATAGAACTGAAAGTAGAACTTCTGGGAATGGCACATCAGTTGGAGCACATGGAATGCAAGCTCCTCAAGGACAGGGGTTTGGAGTTGCTGCGTTTACTAAAGAGGCAACAGCCTCACACAGCAAATGCTCTACAGTACTCATGGAATGAATGGAGGTATAAACACATACTTTCCCTTTCGAATAAAAACACCAAGTTCCAATGAAGATTATTTTCATTATCCATTTATTCTGTTGCTTTAGTTTTCTCAGTCACCACAACACATAAAAAGGCAAGTGACAGAACTATAAACTTGCAGGTGTCCTTGTGCAGTTTCTGCTCACGAGACACACCCGCCCCTGACACAAGCAGCGCAGATGCTGACCCTGCTTAAGCACAGTGGGAAGCCGGCCTTCAGAACTCACCGCGTGGCTTTCAATCGCTCAACAATTAGGCATCCCTTCCTGTCCTAATGGCCTTCGTGTCTTACTCAGAACCGGGCAAGTAAACGTTGGTTGTAATAGGGGCATAGGTGTTTAAAGCCTGGGGAGAGACGTGTGAGAAAACTTGTACAAGATTTATCGTGGTTCTTGGCTTCCAACTTAGCAAATGTGAGACCTCAGACTCAATCAACCAAACCTGCAGGGGAGTGGGGTGAGGGAGGGCAGGGTCCTGCTGCTCAGGCCAGACCTGACCCCATGTCTTGGGTTCCTCGGGACTCACATCTTGAGGCTTGGAAGACAAGTAGTTCCTCTGCCATCGCCAGGGAAGAAACAGCTCTTCACACAGACTCCACCTTCAGGAAGTCCCTCCCTGTGCCTAACTTAAATCTCTCTGGCCTTGAAGCGCCATCCCCCTTGCCCTGCCATCGCAGTAGACGAGAGAACAGCTGCTCGGTGCCCTCCTTTTAATCATCCTTAATGGGCTCATAAACAGCTATTAGGTCCCCCCTTCAGCCTTCTCTGGGCCTCATTGTACTTGCATTGAGGCCGAGCGCTTCTGGGGAAGGCATTTTACTGGGGGTTCCACAGACTCCTGGAGTCTTAAATGGGTAATCAGCCACTTCACCCACTTTAACCTCCACAAATGAACAGCTCTGCCTACTTTTGCAAAATTTAAAGCTATTCAAGGGAGTTCCCTGGCAACCAACCCTTATTAATAAATCACGCCTGATCAAGGCCAGGACAGGGCATTTTTAAAATGTTTCTTTTGTTGAGAAGTCACACATATGCACACAATAAACCAGCAGCTGTTCTCTCTGAAGTTCTGGATTTGCAGGATGGATTCTGCCTGCCTCCCACAGGTCACTGTGGGCTCAGGATGTCCTCATCTGGCTCCCCAACTGGGGAGGGGTGCTGCTCTGGTAGACTCTCTTCTGGTGGTTTTTTTGTAGTTGTTGGGTCACAGCAGCTGGGGAGCAGGACACAGAGCTGAAGTCAAGCTTGCTTAGTCTCCACTGGGCACACTCTGAAACGTTCCACTTCCGTTTCATCATGGTATCCTTTACTTTCAGCTTGTGGCTCACACCCACAGGGGAATCCCAGTCATATGGGTGAATAGAGCTTCCCTTTGTGTCTCTACTGAGCCCTGTGGTTGCTTTCAACCACAGGAAGGCAGGCCAGGGAGGTTAATGTTGCTTTAGCTTTGAGGAATAAAGAGTGATTTCATTTCAAGAGAAATTTTAATCAGGATGACTAAAATTAAAGGGACTGTAATACGAAGAGTTGATATAAAGTATCAGAACACGACATTATTGCCAGTGCCGGTGGAAGCGTACATTGGCATTACCAACTTTGGAATTCTCAACAGACTCCAGCAATGGCTTGGGCAATTCCACTCCTAGGAATATGCTCAGAAGAAACAAGTGTTTATGCTCATCCCAAGACACCCACAAGTTCATGGTGCTGTAGCTTGCTGTAACAAAAAATGTGACGAAGCCACTGAAGGGTAGAGTGAATAAATAAACAGTCGTATATATTTTTACAATGGAAGAAGACACACAGGAGACATTGGCCTACTGATCTACAGTACAGCAGATAGGACACTGAGCAGGAGAAGCCAGACCACAGCACATGTAAGTGGAACCATGAGATTTGGGAAAAGGCCAAGTTCATCTCTGCTGAGGATCAGAACAGTTATTGTCTGTGGGAGGAGTCTATGTTACCATAGACTATTTTAGGCCCATACACTTTATTGAATAGGTGGTACAACAATAAAAAGTAATTTAAAGAAAGTACCTACTGTTTTCTTCCAGATGAACAACTCATTCATCCCTTGTTTCATGGCTCTGCTTCTTTTGAAAAAGATTGAGGCGACTTACCAAAGGTATGCAGTGTTGAACTTTACAAGAATTCTAGCTGCTGCTGAACTGAAGGTAGGAAAATAAGATGAACCCACATGCAAATCTAATCCTTTACATTTACATGCACTTCCGCAAGGTGAACTGAATGGGGAGCTTCCTACCAGCCAATGTAAAGAAGAAACACAGGGCCAGGGCCAGTGGATCAGAAGCACAGAGACCCTAAGAGACCTAATTTCTTGTGTCATTTCAGAAAAAGGCAAATGTGTGATCAACCTCTTTCTGTTTGTTTCAAAGTCTGTCAAACATCCCACTTGAGATCCAGGTCCCCAAGGCCCTTCAGCCCACAGTTTTGACCCTTCCGGTTTCCTCACCCCAGTCCCTTACAGAGTTAAGGTGGAGGCAGCACTGATTGAATGCAAAGCCTCCTCCCCTGTGCTGCACTGAAGGCTAGCAACAAGATACCACCACTTACTGTCCTCTGTGTGGCCTGGGGCAGGCCCTGCTTGGGAGGGCTGCATTTCAGTTCCTTGGGATTCCCGGCTTGTCATCCTGGTTCCCAAAGCCTGGGCCTGCATCTGCAGCCTGTGTTCTGTGGCTCAGCACACCTCCTTCCTGGCCAGTGCTCCACGGTAGCCAGGTCCCTTCCCCAGGGACAGCTTCACTTGGAGCAGCTCGTTGGGGACTGGACGCTTTCCATTTTGGCATCTGGGTTAATGGATCTTTCCACTTCCTGACTCCGGTTTTTGAGTTGAATACATAGAGTGCCCCAGTAACTAAGGAAAGAGATATGGAATGCCTATATACATGAAAGAATTCAGTCGATTCTTCCCTCCCATCTCCTCCCACCCTGTTTTATCCTTCTCCCTCCCACCTCCCAGGAAGATGAAGCAGCCAGGTGAGACTCACGGAGGTAGCAAACAGGATTTGGAAGAACAACGTCTTCACCAGTCTGCCTTTTTCGAGAGCTCTAAGCTCCTCCAAAGCAGCAAATGTCACACTTCTCTGGATAGAAAGGCTTGGGGCCTCCAGGCCTCCTCAAGCATAAGAGAACAAGGCCAAGGCCCTCCCTGGTGGCGCAAGGGGTTAAAGCACAGCCACTGCAGCACCATCTGGATCCCAGGCCAGAGGGTGACCCGCATGGCTGGCAGACTCCCCTGACCTGCCCGCTGCTCCCCTCAGCAGTGCATTTCAGTAGATCTGCCTATTCTGCTCCTCACTCTGTCTCTGGTGAGTCCTCACTCCCGGCATCTCTGGCCTGTACCCCAGTTCTTATATGCATAAATAAATCTTTTTTTTTTGTAAAAAAAGATGACAAGGCCATGTCTATCTTGAACTCCATACGAGCTTTGGATACATTAGGTTCCATTTCTAAGTCACCCATTACTTTCTGACTTGTTTTTTAAGATTTATTTATTTATGCTTATAGAACTGGGTACAGGCTAGAGGTGTGGTGGGTGAGAGGACTCACCAGAGACAGAGAGGGGAGCAGAACAGTAAGATTAACAAAGTACATTGCTAAGGGACCCCCAAATCTCTGTTAGAAAAAGGAATTCACCAAGTAAGGGGGACAATTTTATTTTTATTTACGTTCGGTTAGCAGAGATTTGTCGACACAGACGTACAAATCTGGCCCCAGCTGAGATGATGCAAGCAAGAGAGCATCTTTACTGTGTTTGAGCCAGCAGACACTAATTGATGTGTTTGTTCACATTAGAGCAGTTGGCTCATTTCTTCCTTTTTTCTTCTCTCAGACACACGAACTAAGGCCTGGGTCCTCTCTAGCTTTTCCCCAGGCCAGCCCTGCTCCTCTATCCCCATCCTGCCTGAGTGGCCTCTCGGCTGAGGCTCCCACCAGCACTTATGCTAATGTGGGCACATTATGGTAACAAGTGCCTAATAATAGAGGGAAATTTAATTCCAGCAGCAGCAGCAGCCTCTCACTGGAGAGGAGCCATCCTCCTTCTGAGGAGGAGCAAGCGGTTTGCATGTGAGGGTGGCAGGAAGCCAACACACTGGCCCCCTGAATTTGGTTTCCTTCCCTTTATTCACGTCTATAATTGAGCCTTTGTAAGCAGAGGGATGTGTGTAAAGGAGCTAAATTTGGAGCTGATTTCATGGGGGTGATGAGAGCTCTGGAGGCCAGCTTTACCTTATGTTCATCTTGCCGACCAAAACGAAATTCTCGGCTTGGATCGAGGGAAAAAAAGAAGCCAATCTTGCCATTTCTCTGTATCTCTGACTATCAATAGGAGGGTGTTGTAAATGTTCCGAAAGGAGAGGGGTAGAGAGAGGTTGATTCCCAATCAGGAAGAAAAATATATAGGTTCTTGAATTCTCTGATTCCCTGAAAATTGATAAATGAGTTTTAAGAGAGCAGCTAGACAGAGGCTTCAGATGGAACACCTCTGAAGACGCACACCTGATCTGTTCAGAGCTGACCACAAGTTGTATTTCAGCCTAGAAATACACGGCAACATCTCCAAATGGACTGGCAAACTGAGTTAAGAGCAGATTTAGGCCCTTGTGGCACAACGGGTTAGGACGCAGCACTGCAAGCTGGCCGCAGCCACTTCAGTGTGAGTTCGATCCCCGGCCCCAGAGGTGACCCACATGGTGGGCAGACCTCTCCTGGCCGGTCCGCTGCTCCTCTTAGCAGTGTACTTCACCCAGCAGCCTGTTCTGCTCCCCACTCTGTCTCTGGTGAATCCTCTCGCTGTCCCTGCACCTCTGCCTTGTACCCTAGTTCTGTATGCATAAATAAATAAATCTTAAAAAAAAAAAAGAGCAGATTTAATGACTATACTTAACCAACCTGGAATATGAGAAACACCAATATGGGTGGCACTATCACTTAATTACCTGGGTCTATGGCTTCGCCATCAAAGATGGTGTTCATCTGGATTGTTTCCTAAAGAAAAGAAAGTGACAACTTCAAGTATAACGCTACACTCTCCCCTCCAGGCAAGACTGTTTATCCTGCAGCCCCAGTTCTTCATCCAGAGCCTTCTGGACATTTATTTATCCAGCAGGTATTATGCTAGAAGCTGGGAACACAGCAGTGAGAGGTGTGGTTACTGCGGTACAAAGCTGGCAGTCAGATGGGAGCCACAAGCAGGTGCTTCAACAGTGATGGGCTATCGGCCGCTGGATATAGGATGCTCTGGGGAACAGGTGGGAGCGGGGTGGGGGTGGGAAGATGTTCAATCCAGACTCGGAGAGGTAGGAAAGCCTCCTGAGTGAATGGCATTCAAGCTGCAGAGAGGGAGAAGCAGACCTGCCACCCTCACAGGCTAAAATCAAACTCTCCAGTGGGATCTGGCAGGTAGACACGAGAAGTCTGGCACCGTGGGCACTCACACGCTCCCACCTAGGCACTGGCTGTGCAGCCTCGGGCAAGGTGATGACGCATCTGGACCTGGCTGGCCTTCCCCAAGCCCTGTGCTCTTTGTCTTCCCTGATCCTCACTCTGTGACACCTGCCAGGACCAACCTCTGCCTAATGCCATCTGTCCTCTGCCCCCACCGTCAACCCCTGTACCCTTTTCACAGCGCTCCTAGCTCTGGTGAGACTGGAGTTGGTCTCTAGTGGGCCTTTCACCTTCCAGTTTACATCATGTGTATGATCTCCTTCTCACTTGCCTAGAGCTCCGCAACACTAAAGAGAGAAGAAATGGAGTCTCTATAGGGTTCATTCACTTGATCAGCTCAGCAGCCCCAATTTTGAAGGTCATGGGGATCTACTGGCTTAATGGATTAATTTAATATGTATATTTCTAAGGCAGTCTCTGAGAGGCATCACCAATGGACCTGCCCTAGGCAAAAAGACCTAGGTGACAAAAGATCTCCTCTTCCCACGCCTTCACCTTCCGGGCACCTACCTGTCTTGGTAGCTGACATCTATGGTAGATCTGGGGTATACTTATGGAAGTCAGGTATGGGCCCAAAGTAAAGCTCCCAGAACACTGTCTTCGTTGTGCATATCTTCCCTAAATTTATGGTCTTAGATCATAACAATGACTTATTCTCAGGGAGCAGGGAGGGGGATGGGAGGTAGTTAAGGGGAGTCCCCTTCAAATTCCATCACTTGCCATGAGTGGATCAGACTCAGTACAAGAGAAAAAGGAGGCAGGATGAGGGGCGCCTCTCCAGCCTTGCTGTAACATTTTGCATTGTGTGATTGTGCGAGGCTTAACAATTTCCTCATCCGTTACCTCAAGGGAGGAATTCTCCCTCCCATTTCACAGATGAGGAATCTGAAGCTTAAAGAGACCAAGGGAGGCCTTGAAGGCATATGGCCAAGTGGGCAGAGCCAGGCCCCGCCCCAGCAGAACTCTTTATCACCTTTCTGCAAGGTTGTGGAAGAGTAAAGACAAAATAAATCCCCTCCAAAGTGAGGCCCCAGTTCTGGTCTTTAAGCTCCTCTCCCCCAACTCAATTCTCCTGGAGAGCTGGTATAGATAATAAACACCACTATTCAATATTTATGAAACCCAGTACTTCTGCAAATATATCAGCAGACATGTTCAGTGGAGGGAACAAATTCTATCAGGAGCTCGTCACACAGCAATCTGTTCCAGTGGCCAAATACACGCATCTCCCTGAATGATAAACACCCCCAGGAGGCAATGGCAGGGCCTGCCTGGGAGGGGCGTGGGAGCTTCCCCCAGTCAGTACCCACCTAGGTGTCCCGCGCCAGCCACACTCACCAACACAGCCTCTCTCCTTGTATTCTTCATTCCTGCAGGGAATAGAAGAGGGAAAAGTTAAGCTTCCTGGATACTAAACTGACCATAAAACTCTACCCTTACAATGGGATTTCTCCGAAACAGGCTTAGAACTCAGTATTGCAAACTTGACAAGGAATTTTAGGTCTGTAGACATTTGTGGACAGATTTCCATCATCTCAGAAACACACACACACACACACACACACACACACATAAAACACAGAACTAAAAAAAAAAAATTGTCTTTGATCCTGCTGCAGGTTTATTTGTGCAAATAATGTGGGAAGACACCAGGGCCCTGAGAGAGCTGTGTAGGGCTCACCACAGTTCTCTATCCTTACGTGGACAGACAAAGTTCTCTGCTTTAGAGCCTCGTGGAGCCTGGGTGCCTGTGGAGCCTAAGCACCTTTGGGACCCTGGGCACTTTTGGCAACCTGCACTGCAGCCCCATCCTGGACCTCGGCTTGAGCCTTGATTTTCGGCTGGGAGGGCCTGGGGTCTTGGCGGTACAGACCTGAGCACGTTTCCCAAGCTCTGGGCAAGTGACGTAGGCAAGTGCACAGTCCACTGAGCTTGCTGCTGCTGCCTTTGGAATGTTAACTTTGACCTTGTTGGGCTTCACAAGGGGCTTGAGACCCACAGCACGTGCACACATGGCCTGGGCATTGTTAGTCTGTGCCTTCTGCAGGCCCTTCTTGTTGTGCTTCTGGGCAAAGCACATGTTTCTTAAGAACTTGGAGTCCACTCCCTTAAGAGGTTCATCTCTTTGTGGTCAGGGCTTCTTGATGTCATTTCTGTGCCATTTGGGGGGTTGATGTTTGAGGTATGGCCTTTAAACTTGGCCATGTCTACACCCAATCCTGAGTTTCCCTGGGCGCCTAGAGCCAGAAGAGCTGAAAATATTTTTTTTTACCTTTTTTCCAGCTCATTGTTAGACCCACACCCAGGAAACCAGTTTTTAAATGACACTACGTAAGAAAGATTAGATTGACACAGTTGTTCATAAGGTGGGGCTTTTTTTTTTTCTTTTTGCATCCATTTTAAAAAAGTAACCATTATTGGGAGTACTTAGTGAAAAGTCATTTATTAAGGTCATTCCATTTGATATGATTGCTAACTATTATCATCAGCTTTCTAGTCCAGCTCAGATGCGCCTTGTGTATGGCACATCTAGAAAAGACAATCACTTAAAAAAATGCACGTTCCGGGCCTCCCTGGTGGTGCAGTGGGTTAAAGCACAGCATTGAGAAGCAAAGCCACTTCAGCCTGAGTTTGATCCCCACTCCGGATCCCCACATGGCACGGCAGACTTCTCCTGACCCTCGACAGCTCCCCTCAGCAGCGTACTTCGCCAGTTGGCCTGTTTTGTTCCCCCCTCTGTCTCTGGTGAATCCTCTCACCACCCCTGCACCTCTGGCATGTACCCCAGTTTTGTATGCAAAAATAAATAAATCTTTTTTAAAAAAATGCACTTTCCTATGCTGTGTGTTGTCTCTTCCTACAATCAGATTCTCCTTGAGGTAACTTTCGGGCTCGGGTGGTGGCATCTCCTCTGGCTTGGGGTTGTTCAGATGGACCTTGCTCAATTCACCTGTGTCCCTGAAATCACTCAGCACTCCCAGTTCATCTAACTGTACTCAGTCCCCCATTCAAATGAGCCTGACCCAAGAAACCTGCGAAAAGGATCAAATCAATCTCAGTCTGAGAATAAAGCATCGCTTGTTCTTCACAGAGAGGTATCTGTCCAACACAGAGCACTGGCTGTCCTCAGGAGGGGCCACAGCCTCCCTGGGCAGCAGCAAGTAAATTCTGCCTGTGTTTAAGTCTAGGGGGATTCTTCACTTTGCCCAATGGCAGGGGAACAGACCAGTGGGTGATTATGTTCAACTGGCTGGAGGTGACTGTGGGGAGGGACAGGCAGGACCAAAAGGAGAGACCCAATGGACTAACAGCACCATGCACCCAGCTGCCCTCTTTCCCACTACTCCTGACTTGTTTCGTCCTACTTGCTGGTGATGTGGCTACAAACCCTCTAAGACAGACTAGCACTGAGTTGTAACTATTTTACGTAGTACACCAGAGCCAAAAGCAAACTCTTTTATGTAGTACAACAAGAAGCAAAAGCAAAAGAATAACCAACATCAAAATATAAATAGAAAATAACAAGCAAAGTAGGCATTGTACATACCTCCTTTCTTCACCCTGTGGGGGAGGAAGCAGGAGAGACAAATGAATATGAGTGTGAACTGCTTTTCTGCACACATGACATCATGGGGCCCTTTGCACAATTACTGTGTCTGGGACCCAGGGGTTGACAGAAAGCAAGGCCAGGGATGGCCTCCACTCTACATAGAGCAGCTCTGTCACTGCTGGTTTGGGGCTGAGCAGGTCCTGGGAGTTTGATGAGTCTGAAGACTTGTTTTGCAACTCCAGGGAATATATTTCTCTTGATGACAGGATAGGGTGGGGCAGGACCACCCCATAAGATGGCCTAGAGAGTGTTCCTTCCTGCCCTGTCTGTCAACCTGGTAGCCAGCAGAGCAGAAGGCTGGGCGCATAGCAGGAAGTTTTGAGGACTGGCAGTTAAACACTGATTTCCTGTTTTATGAAGAGCTGGACTCAGAGTCTCAGGCCCTTTCTATGATGATCTTGGTCTCCACAATTCTGGAACTCTAATTTTATTCTTTCCTATTGGACAAATGTTGGCTGCCAACATTTGGAAGGGGCAGCTAATTTTCCAGAGAGGTCAGGTCTGCATCTGAGTTGCTAGGTAGTTTTCTTTTTTAAGTGAAACATGCTGAACAAAATTAGTATTTAGAATGTATGTTAAAGCAACCAGGTTTAAGGTGTGTATTTAAAATTTAACCACAAATTGCATGGGAGTTGTGGCTATTGGATTACTTCCTTTAAGAGTTTCTTCCCAAATCCCATTACAGAGTAACCCCCGTCTTTATAAGCTTAAGCCTCACTCTTTTGGAGCCAAGTTTTTTTTTTTTTTTTCCTTCTTCCAAATCAATTTGTGAGTAGTCCAAACAAAAATGCCTTTTTTAAATTTCAACAGATGCTCAAGGATTTCTTACCTTGAAGTCAAGGTTGCCAATAGCAACGAACTTCCCCAATAAATATGGCAAAATGCAATGCACATCTTCATGCTAATGCCTTATACTTATACACAGTCTTTCATACCATAGATTTTAAATTACTGACAGAACTAGGTAAGCTTCAAAATACCTTTAAAAGGCATATGAGCCTTATTACTCTTTCTGTTTGCCACTTAGAAATTCTGAAATTCAGGATCCAGCATCTCAAGATACCTGGGTGTAGAACTAAACTTAGAATCCAGAACCGTGAGCTCACAGGAACTCAGTTGAAGTAAAAAAAAAAGAAATGCAACAAGATCTAAAAACTTAGCGGCTTTAGTATAGCAAGCTTTGTTCTACATCAGGAACAGTGACAACTGCTTTCTTTGCATTTGCTCATTTACTTGTTTTGTTTTCAGATAAGGAAACTGAGATTCACAAAGGTTGTCATTTGCTCAAAGCTGAACATCTAGAAAATGGTAGTCATGGTTTGAACCCCTGCCTTGTCTACGTGCCAAACCCAGGCTCTTGCTCTCACTGTAACAGCTACTGAGACTCAAGAAAACTGGGCTCTGTGGAAGCATGTACCAATTCAGTGCTCTCTTCACTTGACTCCAGGACCTCACCCTTGCCAGTGAAAGGCACTCAGCAGAGTGTCAGAGAGGGAGGCATGGAAGTGTGCAGGTGAGAATGGAAGGGAGAGGAAATAGACCTGTGTTTACAGCCTCACAAGTGAGAGATGCAGCCACATGCAAAAGAACAACTATTTAGACGCACAAAAGCCCAATTGAGACCCTGGAGCCAAAGCTAATTCCTTTATTAGTTTTTTGTGCTTCCTCTAATTCCATCCCTTTCTTTATAAATATTCCACAGTAGAGCATAGCATATTCTATCAGTACTGAAAGCCAGGTTGTCCTGAAGCTTTTATCCAGACCAGGGGCCACCAAAAAGTTGAAGACCCATTCCTCTGAGAGGGCGGGGCAGGTGGCAAGGGGATGGGGTGGGGGGAGGGGAGATGCCAAAGGATCAGGTTGCAGGGGCTGAAGCTGGCACAGAGGGATCAAGGATTCCTCCCTCAGATCTCCTTCTCTTCCTTCTCCAGGCACCCTGTGCACCCCATAGAAAAATCCCACTTCTCTTATCTTGGCTTCTTTGACCTCACCGGAAACAACAGCGAACTAAAGAAAATGGTGGAAAGGACACAGCTCCCTGGAACTTACAGAGGCTTTTTGTGCTTCCCGGGCTTGCAGGGGCAGTGTCTGTGGACGGCTTTGGCCACCAGGATGATCAGGGTCACCAGGAGACTCAGCAGCAATATGGAGCCCAATGTGATGATGAAAGTCACATACCAGGCCGATGGAGAATAAACATTTTCCTTCAGGATCTGGTAGGTGATCCTGGGCTTGAATGAGAGAGAGGGGAGGATGAGAATGGGGGGTATGTTTTGACAGTCAGTGTTCCCAGGTATTGGGTGTTTATTCTGCTCTTTGCTCTTGTTCTACAAATCGGCCATCTGTTTGCTCGGTCGCTCTTGCTGCTTAAACCCGTCACCTTATTTATAGTCTTTCCATTTACCCATTCAGTCAAAACCAGAAAGTTTAAGAAATGGAGAAGCAAGCAACAACAGGCCCAATTTCATTCTTTCTTCTCCCTCCCCCACACTAAAAATTCCACTGGCTCTTTTCCTCTGTGAAGTGGTGGCATAACCCAGAGACTGATACAGCCATTGTCTCGCACTGGCAAGGCATGAGCCTTAGAATGTTTTTTTTTTTTTCCTCAATTTTTTTAAACACTTCGTAGGCTTTTCAGTGTTCACTCACTGCGCTGCCAGATGAGTGGGCTGCTGTCACAGTGAAACCTCAAGTTCAGCATCTGCTTCCCAGAGTGGGAGACAGATAAACAAGTCATGGAGATTTCGGGACTGGAGATGTCACAACTGGGTCATGTTGTTAGCCCCAGCAAGGTGGCCGTTCCTTACATTGGGGAGCCTGCTTGTTGCCAACATCACCAGACGCCCTAAAGTTGCCATATGCCCCACTCATCGCAGTAATGCTAACTCAAGCGCAGGGAGAGGATCGTTAACCAGCTCTGGGTCAGATGCTGTGAAACAGAATTTGTCACAGGTAGCATGCAAAGGGTCGGATTACTTTTCCTTTGGCACACTGCAGTAGGGGTTGCTGACCAAGGATGTGATGAGGACAAGGAGGAAAGGGGACAAATCAGGTCAAGGGGAAATAATCGTATGGGCAGATTTCAAGAGTTTCCATTCTTTTGCCACAAAGGTTTTATGATAGCACCTGCTTATTTTCTTCCTACCATTGACTACAATCTTCAGTTATTTTAGTCATTTGCACAATGGGGCCCTCCCTGGTAGTGCAACAGGTTAAAGGACAGCACCAGGAAGGTGCTGCAGCCCCTGCAGCATAAGCTCCACCCCTGGCCAGGGAGGTGACCCACATGGCACGGCAAGACTCTCCTGACTGGCCCGCTGCTCCCCTCAGCAGTGGATTTCTGTCACTCTGCCTGTTCTGCTCTGTCTCTGGTGAATTCTCTAGCCCCCAGCCCCCACACCTCTGGCCTATATCAGGGTTCTTGCATGCATAAATAAATCAATCTTTAAAAAAATTTTGCACTTTTGTTTGTCATCTGTGTCTCCTGCTTGAGGAATGGCTCTCAAACTACAGCACATGTCACAATCCCTTGGAAGGCTAGTTAAAAATGCAGCTGGCTGGGGCCCACCCCCAGACTTCAATCTGGTAGGTCTGCAGAAGTGGTTGGGAGTTCTAGGTTTCAACATCCGTCCCCAACAGTTGGTATGATGATCATATTGGGTGATGGATAATTTTAATATTCTCTGATGAGTCAAAAAACTTGTATTTCTAACACAAGTGATGCTGTGCTATTTGTCTAGGGATCACATTTTGAGAACTACTGGTCTATACTATCTGCTCCATAAGAGGTTCATTTGGGGATCATTCACCAAAGTGACTGGCATATCATAGTATTAAATCAGCATCTGGGAGGATTTTTCAGAAGTGAAGGTGGGGCATACTGACTGCACATGGTGACTCTTCAAAAGACATGGAGAAGAGCACTTGACAGCCATCTGCCTTCATGGATACTGACTTGAAATGGCTTCTAAGAGCAAGCAGGGAAGGGGGAGTAAAGATAGCAAATAGTGATGTGAAAACTGGTTCCTGTATCACAAACCCCATGGGCAGACAAAGCTGATCTATCACAAGTCCTTGCATAAATGCATATGCTTATTTATCAGAATAGGAAAAGTTATTAGTCCTACAACTCCAAAATCTCACCCAGATCTTTATCTACCACCCAGAGATGACGTCAATCCAGTCCAGGGCTGGCTTTCCTAGCAACATCCTAATATCACAGCTTTTTTCAGTCCACCCCACATCTCTCTTAGGTCAAAGGGCCTATCAATATAAATGACAAGGACTATAGCTGAGAAGCCTGGGTCCAAGCCCTTACCCCGGGGGTCGTGGTGACAATCGTGGTAGGGTGAGGAATAACACTAATACTCAGTGTCACTGTCCCTGTTTCAACAAGAGCCTCAGCTTTCTTCCTGCCCGACAGCAAGTTGTCATCAGTTATGTAGACAAGTAGTTTGTAGTCCCAGATCTTATCAAGCCCACCAGGGTAGTCAAAGCGAGTTGCAAGGAACAGCCGTGTGACATTGGACCCAGCGCTGGGAGAAAAGGTGAAATGACTGTTCACGTTGCCTAAGTAGGATATTGGGGGAAAAAGAAAAGACAGTGAGAAACAAAGAAGAAATGCCATGTGCAGTCTTCTCTCAAACGACCCCACCTCGGGCGTAGACTGTTTCTGACACGCTAATCCAACCCTGGTGGGATTCTCCCCTGGTAGGACCCTCCCCTGGTAGGATCAGTGATAGGCTTGCAGCCTGAACTTTCATTAGAACAAAGAAATGCTTGCTCCCCACTAGTGTGACCGCAAATGAAGATGAGGGTGGAAAAGGACTACATGAGGACTACAGCAAGTCTGTCCCACGAGAGTGGATTTCCTCTTGCTGAACGTCGGGTGGAGAGATTTAATAATCCTGTAGGAGCCTTTCTAGCCGGTCTTATCATCCAGCATTTATCTGGCAGCGAAGAAATTCACACCCAGTCCAGTGAGTGGGCAGCAAGCAGGTTGAGCCACATCTCTTAGCACAGGCCACGTTTATTCCATGCGTCCCACGCCGTGGTCTGGTCATGCTTACTACAGATGTCCTTGAAGCTCCCCAAGGTAGCTGTCTCCTGGCTTTGCAGGGGTTGCTGTACCAGGTCTGCCTGAATTCATCCCCTCCCCCACTGCCTGTAGGGTTTAGGGCTCACAGCGCAGGGGACTCAGGGCAGAGCTGCAGCCCTCCCAAGCAGCTCCTGCTCATTCCTCCAGTGGCTCCAGACTCATTACTGCCTGAAAACCAGTAAATGGAGCAGGAGATGATGCAATTTTTACTCCCTTAGCTGCCAAGTACTCCATAACGGCCTGAGGGTTCTCAGTATGGATTATTTCCATCTTCGGCAAAGGCAGTCTCTGCCCCTGGGTTTTGTGACACTGCCTGCTCAAGAGGCTTCCTACTGTTCAAGTTCTTGCTCCGCCAGGGCGCAGCAGGCAAGCGAGATGGATTTTTACTTTTCACTTGGAATTGCTCTGCTTGTTTAGGTTTCACTCTGGCCCCAGCGCTTCATTAGATGAGCTATTTTGGTCTAATTTCCATTGAGGGGTGCTCTTCCCGAGCCCTCCCCCCAAAATGGTATATTTTAAAAAAAGAGAAAATGAATGGAGCAGAGAATTCCTAAGGACACATTTCAAAATGCATTTAATCTACTTAATCCATTTTTACCCAGAGAGTGGGCCCTGCCCCCACGACAAGCTTGCAGGAAAAGAGGTGGCTAAGGAGTTCGGTTTTTAAAATATGAGGAACTACATTACTATGTTTTATGAATTATATTTATGGATCAGGGAATTTGGGGAGGGGTGGTACATTCTTGGGAGTCACCCTTCCTTGGGTCTCTGGGCAGCTTATATGGGAGTCTGGGAAGAATTAGGTGAGAAGGGGAGGTCAAAAAGAGAACCAGGTGATGGAGGCACAGTGTACTCCTCACCCCTCCTTTTCTCACCCGAAGCTCCCCTGCCTGCACTCAGTGTGCCCACATCAGTGGCATGGCCCCCACTGCATGCTCTCAGTAGCTAAAGCCTCAGACACCAAGAGTGGGGCCAGAGCTGTTGACATCAAGCACTGTACCTGGGCCAATGTAGTAACGAAAAGACCGGGGGCTGGAATCAAGGTCCGTACATGTCAACTTGAAATTATGAATATTTGTGCCAACTTTCAGATCCACTGGGATGGTCAGGAATGAAGAATGTGGGGTACAAACTGGCTTTTCGTCGTTTGCTTCAAGGATCTTCACAGTCACCTAGAGCAGCAAGAAAGTGGTCATTCTTCACAGCTAACCGCACATTTGCAATAGTCAGTGCTCACTGTGTGCTGGTGCCAGCTCGGGGCTTCTTGTGCACTGGCTCATTTAACCTCACTGGAGAGACATAATATGACTATGCTCATCTTACAGAAGAGGAAACTGATGGTAGATGGACGAGGTGATTAACCTCAGGCTGTTCAGCGAGTGAGCTGAAGAGTGGAAATTTGAATTCAGGCTCTGTCCTCCAAATCCCATGCCATTAACACACGTGCATAACACGTGTAAACATTTACATGCACCTGCACATATGGACTTGTCCCCAGATGATGCAATGCTGTCTTTCCGACAGTGATTGTGGACGTGTTGTGATTCCCTGGACTTGCCTGTTAACTTGCCCTCCTGTGTTGGAAGTTCCATCTTTCGCTCTGGAAGACTGACCAGTGGTTCTCAGTTCTGGCTCCATTCCTGTAGTTTCATCCCTGACTAAGTGAATGGAACTCTCTGAAGGGTGGGGTCCAGACCCTTTTTTTTTTTTTAATGCTTCCAACTGACTGATATGCAGGCAGGGCTGAGAAGCATGAGGACAGAATGAGCCTACCTGTCTATGCAGGATCGCATCTATAATCTGGGCTATTAGCATGACACTAAGCTGGTGGCGCTAACCTGCCACAAGCAGGGGTCAGCCTATTCTCTTTCATCGCTGTCTTTTATGCCTGGTGAATCGGAATACGGACTGGGACACCTGCCAGCACAGAATCAGAGAATGCCAGCTCTGAAAGGGACTTATGGATTCATCACCCTGCTAAAAAGCTTATAAATTTTGAGTCGTATTCAGTCTACCTTTGAAATTTAGGGATTTCAGCTATTTCTGAGCCAGGGAATAAATTGAAATGTTCACTCTAGTTAGCTCCCAAAGTGGAGTCCATTCATTTCCTCAAAAACCCAGCCTAACAAATACTACAATTATCTCCAACTTAGCACATCTCCTCAGCTAGCAATGCCAAGCCTCACACATCATTAAAAACATGGTCCCGTTAATTCAAAGCAAGTCATCAGAGGGACTGGACTATTCAGGCTTTGGGGTATCAGGTGACTCTCCATTTCAGAGAGAGAAACTGGGACACACAGATAAGCCTTGCTCAGACCCCCCCTTGGAAAACTGGGATCAAAGTTGAAAAATGAACTCTGTCTCCTGACTCTGAAGCAGTTATTCTCTAGATCACATGGAGCTGCCTGTCACTAGCTGAGTTCATTTCCCCTTCATGCTTTTCTAGTTACAATGGGAAAGACCAAGAAATAGTTCCATCTTTGTGGCCATCCGATTGCCCTCAGATAATCAATCTTACCTACTGACAACACAGGCCTGCTAAACCCTTGCTACTCCCAATGTGGCAGGGGACCAGCTACCCAGCACCACTTGCAAGTGTTAGAAAGGCAAAGGTCCCACTCAGACCTGCCGAGTCCAGATCTGCACTTAGAGTCGAACATCAAAGGTGGAGAAGCTGCACAGTCTTGACAGGGCACACCATGTTACACTCTACCACACATGGTGGGTGTGGATGGGGGTGGGGGGAGGAACATGACAGAACTACTTGGGGGACACAGGCATTACTGAAGTCACATCCCACTTTGGGCAACATGCATCCCAGCACCAGCCCACGAAGGGAGATAAGAAGGATAACAGGAAAAAGTTTGTCCCACAGAATAGTTATTTTCCAGCATCTAGCCGTCAAACTCAGCATTCTACCTGTCACACACAAACTTGGGCATACAGATGTCAATCTTGGTCTCCCAGAGACCACAATATGTATCCAATTGTGTTCTCCTAGACACCACTGGCCACTTCCTGTCACATCTGCAGAATGCACCCTATGAAGATCCTTATTTGATACAGCCACAACTGGACCAGTCTAGCCAGTGTGTATGTACCAGATAGCGCCACTCACATTGACTGAACTTGTGTCATAGCTGTTGGTGGCCTGGATTCTGAGACCATGGATGGGGGTCGTCTCATAATCCACGTTAGTCACCAGCTGGAGCTCTCCTGTTTGGGGATTAATCCAAAAAATGTTTGGGTACTGGGGGTTGGCCCCTCCGGTAGAGATGGAGTACACAACGCTGGTCTGGGGGAAGTCTTCATCAGTTGCTTGCACCTGTCCAATCCGGGTTTGAGCTGGAAGGATAAAGTATCTGAGATTAGGCCTGCTTTCGGGGGTAAGTGGAGGACCCAGGAAGAGACATTCGGAGTTCCCTTTGCTACTCAACTCAGTATGTTTTATATCTTCAATTCTATTAAATTCCAATTTAATCTAATGAGCAGCTACAAAGTAATTGGTCCTATGAGCCAAGTAGTACTGGGAGGGGTAAGACAATTCAAGCTTTTCTACAGACTTCAAACACGGTAACTGTTATGCCATCATAAACAACACTGCAAAGAACATCTTCACACATCTTTTTGTAGCTGTGTTGTCTCAAAGTCTTGTATTTCACAAATTTTCTATAATAAGCGTGAATTGTGCTTAAAATAAGATGGCAAAAACTTTAAAGAGTTTAGTAACTGATGTCCAGAGAGTATACATTTTTAAATAGAATCTCATTTGCTTATTTTACAAATTTCATTGAGGGGGCTGCTGGAGTCAGGCTTACTTGTTTTGTAAAAGTTCCTTCTCATACATTGCACTTTCTTAGCCAACTACATAGCCCCAGCACTAAGTGCCTGACCCCAAATTTGGGATCAATAATTGCAGTTATGAAGCTATTACTGGTGCACCTGTTATTCACTGAGTACGATATGAGGAAAAAACACCACTTTTCCCAGACCTTCCCTTTGGGTTGTGTTTAAAGTTTGATGTTAGGAATTCATCCTAAAGAGACAATAGGCCCTCCCTAGTGGTGCAGTGGGTTAGGATGCAGCACTGCAAGCTAGCTGCAGCGGCTTAAATGTGAGTTCGATCCCCAGACCCGGAGGTGACCCACATGGCGCAGCAGACCTCTCCTGTCTTGCCCGCTGCTCCCCTCAGCAGTGTACTTTGTTGATCTGCCATTTCTGCTCCCTACTCTGTTTCTGGTGAATTCTCTCATTGCCCCTGCACTTCTGGTCTGTACCTCAGTTCTGAATGTATAAATAAATCTTTAAAAGAAAAAAAAAGAGAGAGAGACAATAGCTGGGGAGGACATAGTTTTAGAGGAGGTGTATTGTTTGGGTTTATTAAAAAGAGAAGTATGCATAATAAAAGGCTCAAAAGTGGTGATGAGGTGCCCTCCCTGGTGGCACAACAGGTTAAATAAAGTGCAGCACTGGGAAGTTAAAGCTGCTATAGCACGAGTTTGAGTCCTGGCCAGGGAGGTGATGCACATGGCAGGGCAGACGTCTCCTGACCCGCCCGCTGCTCCCCTCGGCAGTGTACTTCGCCGATCTGCCTGTTCTGCTCTCCACTCTGTCTCTGGTGAAGCCTCTCACCACCCCTGCACCTGTGGCCTGTACCCCAGTTCTATATGCATAAATAAATAAATCTTTATATAAAAAAAAAAGGTGGGTATTAAATCTGACTACACTGATGTTAAATTACCACCTTCCAGGTGGGGGAGCTGGGGAGAAACTGCAGCCAGGAGTGGAATAATTACTGGGGGGAGAGCTGCAGAAATTGAGGTGTGGCAAAGGTGACAAAGAGGCCTCCAGTGAATCCTCTGACAGGAGAGAGAAAACGTCTTTATTTTGTTTTTAAATGAAGGCAATCTAGAAAGGAGAAACCTTGCCTCTATTTTTAAATTTCAATTCTTTGAGTGACTGGATAAAAATCATAGTGGAGGCCAAGGGAAAACTTGGTCTACACAAAGGGAGGATTAAGCAGCGTCAGCCACAGAGATGAGGAAGCAATTAGGGGGTTCAGAGAACTGCAATTTAATCAACAGTCTTCAAAATCTAGGTTTCACCTGAAGGGCTTCTCAGCAGTGAGGGCAATTGGAAAAGAAATACGAGATGCAATAAACGTGAATCAGCTGTGAATTGCTGTGCACAACACCACTCGGGGCCTCTCGAAGCCAGCTCCCCTCCTCCGCCCCACAAGCATCTGGATGAATGAGTCCACCCAGGGCACCGAGGTCTGCGTCTTGTCTGTTGCTTACCTGGGCTTAATTCGGACACTTCAAATACATAGGATGGCCTATCAAAGACAAGAGGAAACTCATTTTCAGGGCTTGTTAGGATATAAATGTGGATGTTATCTAAAAATGGAAATAGAAAAAAAATTAAAACACCATGTTCTATTCTCACCATTCATTTAATCAACATGTTTTCAGTGTCTCCTGTGTACCAGGTTCTGCGCAGATCATAGGGGTACAGGCGATTACAGGCCCTCCTGAATCCTACCTTCAAGAGGCTTAGGGCAGCTGCCTTGTGAGGAACATTGTGCAGGTCACTACAGAAACTGGAGGATGTACAAACCGAGGCTTCAAAGGGTAATTAGAGCGAGACAAATAGGGCCTGGGGTGGGGTTGTAGGAATATGCAAGGAGCCTAAAGTATAAAATTGCATGACACATTCAGGAAAACTGCGAGCTGTTTGGCCTAGTTGGAAAACAAAGGGGCGAGGTGCTTAGAGGCAAATAATGAGAGCGGAAACTAGAGTTAGACAGGGGCCAGAAGTTGAAAGTCCTGTGTGTCAAGAAAGAATTTGAACTTGAACTTGACGGCATAGGGAGACACTCAAGGGCTTTCAGCACGGAACTAATAGGATGGCATTTGCATTTCCTAAAAGTCACTGACAGGAATGTGGAGGATGTGTTGGGAAGGAACAAGACTAAAACAAGAGACACTCTTAAAAGATTCAGTGCTATAATTCAGCTAAGAAAGAGGAAGCTCTGCTTTAGAGCCGTACTAGTGGGAAGAGGAGAGGGAGGGGATGGCAGCCGACCCTCAGCGTGTAGGAGGGGACACAGAAGAAAGGACTCAGAGAGGGATTAAACATGTTTGGTGCAGGACAGAGGCTGGCTAACTCTCAGGTGTTTTTGGTTTTCTGAAGTCTCCTTTTAAACACAAATACCTAACCAATTCCTACTATTGCCCAGTGTACTTTAATGGTCGTTACCCAATCAAGGATGATGCCTTGTGAAATAAAGCAAAATGATACTTGCTTCTGTAGAAAGGAGGAGCAACATCCTGCACCTGGATTATCACGGTGTATTCATTGCCGACTGCTAGATTACTTGGATTTTCATAATCTAGATCACCAATCAACTGGATTAAAACAGAAATATCAGATCACACAGGATAAACGACCCTTTTTATTGAACTGAGAAAGATGTTTTCATATACTGTTAATGGAGATGTAACTTGGCAAGACCTTTCTGGAAAACATTTGCCCATATATATGAGGAACTTTGAAAAGTTACATACATACATTTGCTCACCGCTAAAGAATGAGTTTGGAAGGATTTACCAGGGGGGAGAATCTGTGTACAGAGTCATCCATTGAGCACTACTGCCAACAGCATCGGCTCATGACTTCAGGTTAGTTGACTTTAGGTTAGTACAATAGAGAACTCTATAGGCAGGAACACTTCCATCATTTTAAATACTAACTCAGGAGCCTCCCTGGTGGCCTAGGGGTTGAATCTTGCTGCTTTTATCTTGAAGGCCTCGATGACCTAAGTTCAATCTCCAGCCAGGAACTAACCCACATATGGTACAGCAGACCTCTCCTGTTCTGCCTGTTGCTCCCCTCAGCAGTGTGTTTCAATCCACCTGTTTTGCTCCCCACTCTGCTCTGGTGAATCCTCTCACCTTCCCCTCCCTAACTCTGGCCTACAACCAAGTTCTCCTATGCAAAATAAAAAAAAATAATAATAAATAAAAATCTTACTAAAAAAGGGAATAATTCTTTAAAAAATAAAATACTAACTCATATCTGTGTGAAATATACACAAAATATATGCATAAGAAAAAGACAAGAAGGAGCTATATCAAAATGTTACTCTCACGGAATGGTAATACTTTAATATGCTTCCTACAGTGCACATGTATTCATTTCCTAAACAGAAAAAAATTGAAATTAATTTTTAGTTGACACCACGAATAAACTGGTAAGACTTTCTCAGGTTTGGGATGAGAGGAAGAAGACAGGGGATGCCTGGCCAGTTGCCGGCTTTCCTCCCTGAGGAAAGCTCTGATGCAAAGACCCTGTCCCCCCAAACTATGCCCCCCACCTTTCCTGCCCTTCCATTTTTTTCTCCTTTCCTACCTGCCTCCAGTGGAAGGTAGTACATAAAACTCTCACAGCACTGACGTCTGTCTGCCTTTTGTACCCATCCTTCCAGTTCTGCTTTTGACCCAAGGACTTCTTGTGGAAACGAGCTGCGAACACAGCCTCATTTTTCTCCTTCTCCCTGGGCCTCTACGGGTTCTACAGTGCTCAATTTTGCAAGACACATTGGTAGCCTTGGTCCTACTTCTTCCCACTTCTGAGGGTCAGGAATGTGCACTCCATTAAACAAAAATGCCTGAACCCAAAGTTACTAACTCGATTACAGAGAAACAGGCATGCATGCTTTGAGCTATGCTATGTAAGAAAGAATCTAGTTCTTAGCACCCTCGATTACAGAGAAACAGGCATGCATGCTTTGAGCTATGCAAGAAAGAATCTAGTTCTTAGCACCCTCGGCACAACTATGCATAACAAATCATTCCCCGAACTTGGGTCAAATAAAGAGCAAGTGGGGAAAACAGAGTGACTATTAAGTTTGTCAGTTACAGCTGCTCTGAGAAGGAGTTACCTTGGAAATCTCTCTCTATGGGGCAGCAAAAGCACCATGCATGATAGACCAGCTTCCCCCATGCCCTTTCAGTGATGCAATGACCATTAACTGACCACAATTTTCCCAGAGCCAGCTGGATCCTGTAAAAATCTGCCACTGCTCCCCACTCCAGATGGCGTGGTGAAGTTGAATTGGTTGTTTGGTGCTTCACTGTCATCATCAAAGCAGAACTTGTGCAGATCCAGAAGTATCTTCCCCTTGGCTGCTTTTTCAGGCACCGTAATGCTGGCGAGAGACACGATTCAATATTTTGCCCAACAAATGGTGATGGAGTGTTCCTTCTAATGCAGGCCTTCAATTAGACCTCTCTGTTTTCATTTCAGTTCAAAGCAAGTGCCAGATTACTGCAGGAGCCCCCTAACTGGAGTCCCAGCTCTGCCCTTGCCTCCTGTCAGACTGTTGTTAACACAGCAGCAGCCAGAGGGGTCCTGTGAAAGTGTCGTCAGATCATGTCACTCCTCTACTCCTAAGTCCCAGTTGACTCCTCACTTCACTTCAAAGTTCTCACTTTGATCTCCAGGACCCTTCA